AAGTAGAATTAGCAAATAATACAATTCTCACTGTTTATACATGTTGGCATTTTACCCTCAGGTGTAACTCAAACTTTAATTGTGGAACAACTTACACGTTTGTCATCCATCACTGAGGACACAGATTTTGGTGATATCATGTACCCAGCTTCAACCTGACCATATGTCCAATCAGCAGCAGTAATTGGAAATACCTGTTTGGATCGTTTACCATCTAACAAGATCAGGCAGTTCTGCAGTTTTATTATGACTCAGTTCACTTCCCTGCAAAGACTGAAACCATTTTTGGATGGAGCCGATTTTCATGGCAACGTCTGTCAACAATCATCTTCAGTCATTTCAAGGTTATGACCAATTTGCAAGGAATAATACATCTGTTTCACACACACACACACACACACACACACACACACACACACATCAGTCCTGAAAACCACAAACATATAGACATTAACTAAATAGATTTTGCCTGTTTTGCGTCCACTTAATGTTGAGGCCGGCCACAGTAATTATTAGATATGGATAAAAGAGTTCAGAAAACAAGAAAAAAATGCAATACATGGATACTTAAAAAGAAAAAAACTTGCAAATATTCCTCTCCCTCAGAGACAGTTTAAGAGGGACCTTTATTGTAGTACAATCTACAATACAATGAGTGAGTCAGTACTGCTCAGACTGGGTAGAAGCAGACTCGTGTCCGTTTATATCTTCTAACTTTTAACTGTAGATGAGCCCCTTTCAGGCTGACATTTAAGCACTCAGGGCTCCGATATGTTTGACTTTGATTAGGTAACACATGTTCTTTTAAGTGCATGTGCGTACGTCTCAGTGTGTGGTCACTTCTGCTTTGATGAAAACTAATGCGCTCCTGGGGATTGGGTCAGATTAACATAATTGTAGTTAATTGCCACGGAAACGGCCTGTGAGGTTCATCTGTGGCATTGGCAGAGGAAAAGATGTTCCTGTGTGGATGCTGGAGTCAGGGGTCCTTTCTCTCTGAACATGGTTAAACACAATATACACGGATGCTCTAAAGAGCTCAGAAAGACATAATAGAATTTTCCACATTTTACTGCACATTAATGCACGGCACACACATACACAGACTACAATGCACATCTGGATGTGAACAGTACAGTGCACACGCTTTACAGTGAGCTAACAGGATCACACACTGTGTCCGTGAAAGATTAGCAAATCATCAGCTAAATACTGAAACTGTCATATTTAATTAATCCATAAAGGGCTTAAATTTATTGGACAGTCGCTGAAGCAGAGGTCTGTCCACCGCCCTCACAACTTAAATTGCATTATAAAGCAAAGCTATTTCTAAATTCCTCTGGCAAACACATTAATGATGATTGATTCAGGCCTCGATTCGAATGAGTAAGTTTTTATTTTACTGCTTGCTGCGTCAGTGCTTTGGGGTACAAAAGAGTTGGTGCACTGAAAAGCAGATTAAGAGGTCTTTTGTTAAAATGCCCACTGCCACTGACATGCGCTTAAAACACACAAGACTGAGGACAATGCTTCTAATTATTATTAACTATATCTAACCATTACTTAAAGCTGCTATACTCAGTGTTTTTGTATTAATGATAAATGAAATCATCATGTGCAATGTGAAATAGGTCACGTAGTAAAAAAACAAAAAAAAAACCCACAGGCGTTTCATCAGGCTCTGCACTCCCTTAAGTTCTTCAGTGAAGTTTTGGTTTTTCTACCCACAACTTTAGGGTTTGTGTTCACTCTCAATAGTCTCATTCGTTCCACCTTTAAGGATTATTGATTTCCAACATTAAATCTTGGTCAATTTAATTTGGCTTTTTCCACAGGAATTTACAAAAACAGACTTACATGTCAAAGTGAATACAGACATTAATTTGTTTTAAAAAAAAATACACAGTGTTAAATAAGTGACTGCATACATATTTTCATCCTTGAAGTCAGTAGTTACTTGATGGCTGCACTTACTGCATTGAAATAGAAAAAGAAAGTCTTTATTGACATTACACAAGTACAATGAAATTTCAGAGCTCTAGGCTCTGACTCGGCCACTATAGAACATTCACCATGTTGTCTTTAAACCCTTTCTGTGTAGCTCTGGCTGTATGCGTGCTCTATGTCTTGCTTGACAACAAATCCAAGTCAAGTCTCATTCATTTTACCCACTACCTTTACAAACCTTCCAGGGCCTGGTGCTGAGAATCGTCCCCACATCATGATGTTGCCAACACCATGCTTCATAGTGGAGATGGTATGTTTGTGATGATGTGCAATGTTTGCTGTGTAGTCCAATCACCAAAAGGTCCATTTTTATGTCGTCCCTGATTCCCCAGGGATGGAACCTTCCAGATACAGGTGTTTTTATACTGCAGTCAATTTAGACACATTCACTACAATCACTTGATCTTCATTTCACTAATGTTGTGACACAAATCCTTGTCAAAAAAAGTTGAAAAACAATAACTGGGAAAACTCTTAATACTTTTCTATAGGTGATATATATTTAGAAGTACTGACATTGGTCAGTGACTGCTGAATGTATTCAACATGCTTAATGAGGTAATTAAACATCAGTGTTGTACTTACAGCTTGTTGTGATTCATTGAGTGGTCCAACAATCAGTTAATGCAGATTGAAATATGACCCATTGTAGCACAAATGTGAAACATAATTTACCTCACACAAGGCATTTAAAATCCCTCTCCAGCCATTGTTTGAACACCTAAAAACTCATCTCTGTGTATCAAGTTTTTTAATCAAAATAATTCCTTCTTGTTTTAAAAGTGGATTAGATGTAACTCATTAGTACATGATACATCAGTGCTTCCTCTAGCATGTGAAGATGTATGAAGTCCCCACGTTACACAATAGCAAATTGTAATATTGGAGTAATTCTAAATTAGTGTTTTTGAGATTGTCATGAGCCGTTTTAAGGTGGAATTACTCAGCCATGGCATTGACTGCTTATTTCACTCATGAGGTGTCTTCAAGCATATAAAGGACATCATATGGACATGTTAATAGGTAAAATAATGTCATTTTCACCTGAGGGGGTCATTAACTGCTCTTTCATAATTACATTTTGTGTCTGCAACAGAATTACCATTTAGCAAGTGACTGTCAAATTCAAAAATCAATAGATTGATCTTTAAATTGAGTTGAAGGCCATTTTATATTTGCAGTGACTTTCTTGGTGTGCTTCCTGTGCATACCCTGTTATTGTATTAACTGTTTTTCTTCACAGGGCTGATTGGTTATGACAAGTCTAATTTACATCTGAGAACTAGAACAAATAGTGAAACTCCTGTTCCTTCTTAGTACATGGAGCTCAGTCCATTCCCTCTTCTGGTTATCCAGGCTTGGGTCACAGTCGCAGCATTCCAGCCATTTGTCTTCCCAGTAAACCCTGACTAAAGTCTAATCAGCCAGAGAAATTGGAAACACCCCAGTGGATGTGTGGAGTCTTAAGGTGCACAAAAATGTACTGAGGCTACTTTTATATTGCAAGCCTGGATGCTCAAAAGAATTTTTCAATGACATCCAAACTTGTGTGTTGATGCTTCATGCTTATGATGTATGTATCCAGAGTAAACACAGCTGAGGTCTTACACTGCCACACATGCACAGATTTAACTGAAACGTGAGCCGCATGCATACACAAAAAGAACACCATCACAACTGCAGTTAAATCACAGATGTGGATGACTTAGCTGTAAATATGCACCTTAATCACTGCAGTTTTTCTCCTCCATCAGGCCGTGTGGGATAGATAGTCCTGCATAGATTTCAACAGAACTCTGTCAGTGCAGAACAGCGGTAAAAATATTATAAGCAGACTTTTACTCAGCAGACTTCTTCTAATCCTGTCTCTGACCATGCTCATAGTATGATTTACATTTTTTAACTTTTGTTTTACACTTTTAGTTTTGCTTTCACTCGCTGTTTTTCACTCTGTGTTTGCTTACATTTTCTGTCTGTGTTTGCTTTAGTCTAGCCACTAAAACAACTTGGTTGTATTTCGAAAAAGGGGAATGGTTTGGACTGCCTTCACCCTAAGTCGGCTGGGATAGGCTCCAGCTCCCCTGCAACCCTAATAAGGATTAAGCGGTGTGTAGATAATGGATGGATGGAATGGTTTGGAATAAAAACACCATGTTGCTGCATACAGGGTGACGACTCCAGCAAAGATTTCATATACACTTATTCCCACCACCATGAGAAATTGTTGATGTCATCAGAGCCAAATCTTCCAGAGCTTCCTTGCTGTATGATCCAAATCTTCAGCAAAACTTGTCACTTTCACTGTGTGTGCTGGGCTGCAAATGGACGTCTGTGGAGGGTTTCATGCAACCTCTTGTGGACTTGGGAAAAATGATGACAGTATGCAAATAAGCAAAGAAATTCAATCTGACATTTTTGGCTATTTTTGCATAGAGTTGGGTCAGACCTTGGGCTGCATTCACAAGTGGCTAAGATCTGATCCATGCTGAAAATAATCTGTTATTGTTTGTTGACACAAAAGTTAAAATAACAAATAAATATAAATAAATAAATAAATAAACTGATCTGATCTGAATCATTTAAAAGACACAAAAAATCGGATTCAGACTATAGCAATATATAAAACAACCACTGGATGTTGTCTGAGCAGCAGGGAGTGGTCACTGTAAATAGTAATACCTTACTGTGACATGTTGAATCGATGCTATCAAGAAGACAAAAATGGCAGCTTTAATCAAATGATACCTATTTTTAAACCAACACATTCCAACATTATTCACCATTTTGTCCCTACAGTCAGAATCAAAGACAGACACTGACTTTCTCATACCAGAACAAGAGGATTAACTGATAACATTGATGGCTGCAAGGTCTCTGAATCTTCATATGTCTGAGTGACTTCACTTAACCGGCTAGAAATAATTGTAGTGGTAGTGGTGGTTTCTGTGATTCACCACAATCCATTTCAGAATACACTGTGTGTGTCCTTGTAGGTACTATGTGTGTGTGGCCATCCTGATCTACTTCCTTCCACTGCTGGTGATGGGTTGTGCTTATCTGGTGGTGGGACTGACGCTCTGGGCCAGTGAGATCCCTGGAGACTCCTCTGACCGCTACAAGGAGCAGCTGACTGCCAAACGCAAGGTAACCTGCACTTTAGCTTTCAGTTTTGGATTCCTAACCAGCATAATCAAAATAGTTATCTTGTATTGTGTCTCTGAACAGGACAGGGTTGAAATTTTCATGCCGACTTGTGTTTTTTCTTTCGATGACAAAATATTCATCACAACTCTATAAACCTGCTTTCATCCTTTTTGTTGTTGGTTTTCCAGCCCACCTGTTGTCATTTTCAGTCCACCTCAGTTTGCCGTGTATATCGTCAGCTCTCCTTTTCCCACTCATCTGTTTTTCTATTTTTCAGTCATCTCTCACAGCCAGTGCTTGCCTGGTATGTTCACAGTTTCAGTTTTGTGGAGAACACTTTCCTAATGAACACACTTGCAGAGACATGCAGAGAACATGAAATGTAATCAATATGTGTGCCCTGATTAGATCACTCTCTGCAGGTAAGTCTGACATTTAATCAGATACATTTTGGTAACTTTCGTAGTTTATTTAATTCTGTTCTGCTTCGGTATGCTGTATTTTTTTGTATGATCGTGTTGTTTTATGAATGGCAGGTCATCTACCTCTGAAACATCTTTACAACTTTTCTATAGGCACATATGGTTCCCAAACAAAGCTGTTCAGAAGTCACCTGACCAGATTTTGACTGTTGGTTTGGATCACTTTAAATTCTAGAAAATCTTTTAATCAACTGACATTCACATGAGCCTCAGTTGTGCTTTGTAAATGTATGCTAACATAACATGGAAAACAATACAGTCCCCATCAGCCACAACATAAAGCCACTGTGTCCCATCAGCATGTCAGCATTGATGCTGAGAACATACAAGGAGGCATTTAGAGCACCGCTATACTTGGACTTAAAAAAAAAAAAAACAGATCTTACAATTAAACATAACAAATTTTAAAAAAAATAATAAAACATCAAAAGATTTTTGAAGCTTAAAAATAATGATTTAAGATTGTACTGGTACATAAGAGACAGTGAGATCATAAAATCTCTTGGAATCATAGTTCGTTCTTTTTCATTTCACAACATCCTTAACCTCGTTTGCACAAATTTAAAATGTGCATGTAATACAGCCTCTGCTCTAATGAAGCAGCCTCACATGTCTGATGCGTCCATCCATATTATGGTCAGTTCATTGTCAGCAAGCGCTGTCTGTTATTGACAGCGCTAATGATGTGTCTGTGTGCATCACATTTTAATTTTGCCAGACAGAAAGTTCAAAGCACCTGAGCTTGTTAAAGAAAAGAAAAGGTGACTGCTGATTCCTCAGTGGAGACAATCAACGTAGGGCAGTGTGTCTCATCATCAAGAGATTAGAGATCAATCAAGAAACTGACAATGCCCACTGGTGCACTGTTGATTGATGATTTACTTGGGCACATTTTACAAGTACTATATCTTATTTATGAAGCTGCTGTTACTGCTACTTCTTCTGACAGGGCCATTGTACTGAGATTCGTGGCATTTTGACAGTAAAATACAACCTGTAGGCTTTTTGCACTATTAAATAAATACAGATTTGTCATTTCCTATCCCTTCAGGTTTCTCCTATCCAGTCTTAGATGTGTATGGATGCGGGTGCAGGTCCATGTGAAATAGGGAAGGAAAACAAAGAAAATGACAAGACATACTTGTGCTGTCATGTTTCCAACAGGTGGTGAAGATGATGATTGTGGTGGTTTGTACGTTTGCCATCTGTTGGCTGCCCTACCATGTCTACTTTCTCCTGCATCAGTTCTTCCCTGACATGTTTGAAGAACAGTTCATCCAGCAGGTCTACCTGGCCATCATGTGGTTGGCCATGAGCTCCACCATGTACAACCCCATCATCTACTGCTGCCTCAATGACAGGTCGGTCAGCATCTACACACATGTATGCACACAAATACACTGGTGCTCCAATATTGACCTCAGCTTCAGAGGAAACTTCAATTCGACACTTTGAAACAGAAGCTGCACATTTGATCATATTCTAATGAGAGGCATAACTACAAGTTTCTACTTCAGGAAACTCCGGGAACCACAAGTAAACCTTCAGTCTGAGGGCAAAGGGCTCTGTTAGGATGATGTGGGACAATCAGCTCTTTAAGATAAGATGGAGCTGGTCATTAAGACTTTTGTATGTTAGAAGCAGGATTTGAAATTCTATCCTGGATTTTACAGGGAGCCAATGAAGAGAATCTAATACAGGAAAAAGAAGATCTCGCTTACTGGTTCCTGTCAGATCAGCTGGAGGGTTTTTAAGAGAATTATTAGTGCATGCTAATAATAGGGAAGTACAATAGTCCAACCTAACCAATGAAATGAATAAAATCCAAATAGGGCAAACAGTATTCCAACTTGCCTGATAAACTATGAAAGAAACACAAAAGAAAACAACTATCTTCCAACCTAAACTGAAACACAAAAGCAGCAGCTCCCGTGCTCTGAACAGAAAAATCCCTATCTCAGTGTGGGTGTGTTGGAAAAGCTAAGCCTGGCTCAGTCTGCAGGCAATTAAATGAGTATACTCATTACACAAATCATAGGATCCACTTGTAAGTGGCTACAGAGCACAAAGGCAGCAAGAACAAAAACAGCAAATTCATACAGAAAAATATTAAGTTGCTTGCAAGAGTTACACAGAAAACACACATATATTCACAGCCACCAAGACTGATGGGTTGGATGCACCTTTACATCCGGATGAAATGATAGCTGCAGCTTGATAGGGGCGGTCAGCAGTCAGTCAGTCGGTCAGGAAAGTAAATGAGGAGAAGAACAAGTGCTGGAGCTCCTGTCCGGTCAGCCAGGACGAGGGGCAGGATGTGGAGAATATGCAGGAATCAATCCCAGTCAGGAGACCTCACAAACCAATATCCTGACCTATGCATGCATATCTGTAAGCTGTGATGCAATTTAATGGCTTAGAGTTATGTAGAAAAAAAAAGTCCCCTCCTGTAGAGTCGTCGTGAAAGGGAACGTTAGTTATAGAGAACAAAATAGTTTATTGTGCCGGGCAACAAACATGTTTATTTTTGCTGTAAAGTCAGACATGTTAACATGGACTCAACAAGGATTATGTGGCTTCCGGCGCGAGCCTCAAGTGGACATTAGAGGAACTACAGTTTTTAATCGCTTCTTTTTTAGCCCCAGAGGTTAAAATGTAAAATTCCTGACACTGGAGCTAAATAAGTTTTAGTTTACACATTATCAGGTTCATCCTTCAGCCCACCGCATGACACATCAGCAAATTAGACGATAGTTGTTCTCCTTACTAAGAAGCCTACTCAGTCCTTCTAAACAGATATTTATGACACAAAAACCATCTGAAAACTAACTATTCAACACTATCAATGGACAGCTATCAAAATAAGGCTTTTGTTATCTTTGTGAACTATCTACTGTCTTACAAAAATATTAGTTTAAAACTCAGCTGATGCTACAAAGCAGCCTACAGTAAAAGGTCAGTCCTATTCATGAACTTTGATCTAATTCAAACATGATTTCTTTTAAGAAGTAACAGCCCTTGTGCACCATTACAGCATGTATTTTCTTTTTTAGAATATGAGTTTCTATTTTATTTTCTTTTGTATGCAGTCCATTGATCCGCTATTCAACTTATAGTTTACCACAGAAATATAAAAGAAAAATCTGAATGCCTAGAAGTACAGCGTGTAATGAAGCAAGAACACAGCAAACTTTTCAAAATACACTTTACAAAATCCAGTATTTCAAGGTTGGATCTGTATTTTCCGTTACAAGGAAGCTTTTTGAACTTGCTTTCCCCTTGCTTGTCTACATCTTATTTACATCCTGTCATCTAATGTTAAACCTGTGCAGTAAGTTTCTAATGAGTATTGCTGCTATGCACTATTGGCCTTTATTCTTGTTATAGATGTTGATGATATTTAAGTGTCAATTTTTACCTGATGACTGACTTGCTAGAAATTTTACATCATTTTAGAAATATTAAATATTCATATTTCCTCCCTTGATGCAGTGTTTCACCAAGCAATTCATAGCTTCTTGTATGCAATCAGCTAGTCATTATTTTACAATTTTGTTATAATGTGTCCCCTGACTGATGGTTTTAAACACACAATCAAAAGACAATTTACCCATTTTGATGTAATCACCAGGATTAAGAAAGTCTGATGTAGTGTGTATCCTTTGCCTGGAAAAAGTAAAGGGTGATTGTCCATTCTCTTCATCACCTCTTTAGCGGTAAAGGCTTTATTTTTGATGAGCAATAATCACATTGTAAGACTGCAGCTAATGTCACACACGCACACTCACTGGTATGCACATCACATATGAATAACCAATCCTTCACTGCTGCCTTAGTGACAAGCAGTTGAAAACTCCAGCACCACAGCAGAGAGGCTGCTTATACTCACTTTGAGATGGCTCGTCTGGAAACTCTCTGCACCTCAGAGATTTCCACACATGGACTGAAGCTGGAGTAAACTTCAAACTTTGAGTCCCACTGTGAACATTAACAGTTTATCCTAAGACTGGCGTTATAAGCATTCTGCCCGTCAAATCGAATAAAATCAAAAGATTGTTGCTTGGAAGAATAAAAACAGATGGTAAGCTCTGTTGTTGTCTTTAATCAAGCTTCTCCTCTTGTCCTGTGTCACAGCCACCTGCTAATTCTCGCTGCCATGGGAGAAATGAGGTTTCACACTTGCTTGTTTTTGCCTTGGAAATTAGTTCCTGAAAATGAAAATATGTGGGCTGGACTGCAGTGAGCTGAGGTTTAGTCATTATTCTGTACATGATATCGAACATCTTCTTCCTCTATCAGCACGGCCAATTTAAATTCAAATGCGTGACTGATAAGGATCCTCTCCTCTCACTTTTCATCAATCTCTTCTCATCTTTGTCCGGCTCTCAGCAACTGACATTATCTCTTTTTTTTCCCCCTTCTGCATTCTCTCAATGTCTGGGCTTTCTACAGTTTGTGGTTTGTGTGTGTGTGTGTGTGTGTGTGTGTGTGTGTGTGTGTGTGTGTGTGTGTGTGTGTTTGTGTGTGTGTTTACTGAGCTGAGGAGTTTCCTGTCGGGCCCTCTTGATTTCTTCATCTCTGCAAAATGATTCTGTCAGCTCTTCTGTGTGTGGTTTGTCAATACAGTGTCTCATGTATTTTTAGTCCTGTTTTCTAACACCTGCAAATGTGTTAATGAATATTCAAACGTTTCGGAAACACACCGTCTGCGCTCTTTGTCAGTTGTTTTTTCTAATTATTTTGACATCACATTTCTTCGTTTAATCTATCTGTTACTGTGGTTCTGCACCAGTCTGTAGCATATCGTAAATAGTCCTCACAGAATGGAGGATTTCCAAGTTGGCTACTCGTGTTTGTGTGAAATGGACAAAAAAAATGTCCAATGTGTAATTAATGACTTGGCTGGCTAAAATAGGAAATATATCATGTGCATTCAGTCCTAGTCCAGCTTGTTAAAGAAGCATGGAATGTCCACACCGCTGACCCCGTCTCTGGCAGATGATGTTCTGGTTGTAGAAGCTTTTGATGTTGTTTGAGATTCAGGAATTTCTGGCAGTTTTGAAGTCCTCCTCAGGTGAAAATCAATGTGTGTTACCCCGTTAACACATCCACGCCTGTTGTATGTTTTTTTTTACATGCTGGAAGGAATGTCTTAAGTGAAATAGGCGGTCATGGCTGAGCATTTCTGGCATCTCAAAACGACTGACCGACAGACGGGCTTTCAGACCCAATAGGTGGAAGGACTCAACCTGTCAGTGTGCAGGGTTGACTTTTCTGTTTCCATATACTTCAGATGTTTCTTTTGGTTCTGAGCATGTATAGCTGAATGACTCTTATATCACAGCTTGCCATCATGTATTGTAGAGTAGTTCTACAGTGTTTGATGAGAAATGTAGATGAGCTGGTGTGTTTGAGCTGCTGTGATCAGCAGAGGGTGACTTTATAGATCTGCACATTCTAAATCATATCAAATGACTATTAGATAATATATAGTATATAACGCATGCAACACTAATACTACACATCCCAGAATGCGCTGCTGGTGTTGTGGCCAATGAAGACCCATCGGCGTCCCCTCCACCTTCTGTTGACATTCATTAGCAACTCTCCACATTCATTAGCCAAAGCTTTGGTTTAGGTTTTTTGCAAACTTTTTTTTTTGTGGTTGTTTTGTTGTTAATAATAATTATTTTTATTTGAGTACAAGCGCCTCTCAGGACACCCAAGGACACTTTACAAAACAAAACAAATACAAGAAGTATTAAATTACAGAGGGAAAAAAAAAAAAAACAACACAATAAAATACCAAGGTACTAAATTGGGATAAAACAGACAAAGCAGGTGCATTAAGGTGGGATGAGCAGTTCTAAACAGGTGAGTTTTGAGTCAGGGTGAATGAATCAATGTTCCTGAGTTCCAGTGGTAATGCGTTCCATAGTGGCTGGGGGAGTGGAAGAGGGTTTACTGGTTTACTGGTTAGCCTGTGAAAGAAAGGTTCAATCAAAAATAAATTTGAAGAATTACAGATAGAGAGAGTGGCATAAGAATTTTTAGTATTTTACTAATTTAAAGAAAAATAAGAAATGAATGCCACTGATGTATCTTTTGTTTGAAATTTGATTTCTCATACAATCATAATATTAAGCTTCGCTTGTTCCAGATTCAATGTTAAACTTAAGTTTGTTTCCCTATTAAAAAGTTTCTCACTGTACTGTATATCTGGAGAGAAAAGAAAATATGCACAATTGGAGCAATAAATATTGAGTCTGAACCACAACTTACTCCGTTTTTTATTTTGGCCCACTGTGTATTTGAGTTTGACACCCATGTTCTAGAGCAGGGGTTCTCAACTGGTGGGTCACGACCCAAAAGTGGGTCGCGGACCTGTTCTGGGTGGGTCACGGACAGCTGGTCAAATTAAATAATATATAATGTGCGTCTCAGGTTGGACTTATTTTTTATTTTGAAAAAACTTTTATTTTGACAGGCATGGTATCCACAGTTTGTTTGACGTTCATTTCAAGTTTGTGGTGATGTTGGGATGCAAGATGGCAAAGCACAAATATGACCCGGAGTATTTAAATTGTGGATTTTCATACTGGGACTGGACCCGAATAGCCAACTATTCGTTCGCTGTGCTGGAATCGGGATATCAGTTTGGCTCTCCGAATATTCCATTTTAGGGCAGTAGGGGATTATTTTCATGAAAAAACTACCTAAATAAGTAAATAAGTGATACACAGAGATATGTTGTTGTGGGTTAATTCAATGACAGGAGCGGGACTTTCACCGTAATACAAAAAAATAACTGGATGTTTATAAAACCTGCATTAAAAGAGTTGTTTTTCCACTTGGGAGCTTCACAACAAGCTACGCAGATTTTATTATGAAGCTGATATGGCTAATGCGTTACCAAGGCTATTTACACACCCAGCAAACACAGCACCTCATTAGCATTCATTTAGAGGCGTTTTTCAGACTACCACCTGACAAATTTCAATCTATTATTCACTCTCCTGAGGGAAATATCTGGCTCTTAGGCTGTTAAATGCTTCATTGTGTTCTCTATTTGTGGTTTGTTGCTGAGCAGGTAGGATAGAGGGGTTGTATGAAAGTTTTTCCTGGAGCTAACCTTTCAGCGCTGTGGAGTTAACTCATCACAGAACACCACCCCACCCTGCTGCTACACTGCTGACTGTCACTGAGGCTTTATCCTGACTCCTGACAGCCCTGGATTTAACCCAGAACGTGGTGAAACTAAACAAAAAGTAGCCAAGGTAGAGGCGAGAAAAACAAAAAAACAATTAGCTGAGTAATACCAAAAACTTTCTTGGAGCTGAGTCACCTGTGGTCATTTGATCAACTGTTAATAACAATTAAAAGCCACTGGTTCAACCCCTAAAAACTCATCTCTGTGTATCCAAGTTACATATTTAGAAGATTTTTCCCTTTCTGCCTCAAAATGTCTTGTGTAACTCTACGCTGTTGCTTCCATGTTGTCTTCACGTCCTTCTTCGCCCATTTCTCTGCCACTCGCTGCAGCTCAGCACACCAGCTCACCCACAACTCTGTTCAAACGCTGTGATACTAATCTGCACTACACAATGGCAAGTTGTAATATTGGAGTACTCCAGTCACACGTGTTTGAGCCAGACACCAAAAAAATATGAATCTGCATTTTTGAGACTATCATCAGCGCACTGCTCTGCCATGACTACTTATTTCACTCATGATAACATTTAAAAACACTGTATTGACACAAAAAAAAAATAAAAAAAAATTCTCCTTTATTCATAAGAAAAGACAAACAAAACAACCTTTGTCAATTTAATATGCGTCACTACTACACCCATCATGGTCTTGGTGACTAATGCTGGATAACGTTTGCAGCATAAGATCCTGCAGATATTGTTGTATACCTGACATTCCTGTTATTTCCTGTTAGTTTTATCTTATAGCATTTACTATTTTCCCTTAACTCCTTATTGTGGTTACAATTGCCACTTTTTGGCTAGAAGGTTCACGTTTATTGTACAATTTTTCAATACTCTGTGTTCAGTGAACTGGGGGTTTCATCATCAACACTCCTGCTTGGCTTTGCAACTAAATCCAGTTTACTACTGACTTTGATGTCTGTAACAGCCCATTGACAATTTAGGTCGCTAGCATTTGGAATTCCAGATGAAACCTAGGCTTCAGGCTATAAAGGGAGTCAAACAGGGAAGGCTTCATATGGCAGACTTTTTCATCCCTGGTGGGTTAACCAGTAAGTGAATTGCACAGTAAATGAACTCATTTGTGCTTTTCTTCCACAGGTTTCGTGCTGGATTTAAACAAGCCTTCCGCTGCTGCCCCTGTGTTCCTCGAGGCTCTTATGAAGGCCTGGAACTGAAGTCCACCCGCTACCTTCAGACTCAGACCAGCGTTTACAAGGCGAGCCGAATGGAGACCACCGTATCTACTGTCCTCCAGAGTGGGGACGACGCGGAGCAGCCCAAGGTCAAGGCGACAGCGGTTTCAGGGCCCGGTGTGGCTGGAGTCGGGGCCAGACCACATAGCTCCTCCCTGGACCTCACTTCAAACGGGTCATCATCCCGGAGTGTCTCCAAAACGGTATCAGAGACGTCCAGTTTCTACTCCAGTAACAACCTGCAAGAATAAACCTCAAGTACAGGCAGCGTTTGTCTGGACAGCAGAGAGAGAGAGTGTGAGTTGACTGTTCACATAGCTACTTTTGTCTGCGTGTATTCATGCAAAGTACAGTGTGATTGTGTGAGTTTGTCTGCTGGTGACTGTCAGTGTCTAATGAATATATTTCTGATGTGTTCACTGGAACATCATGATAGGAAATGTCTTCACTGAGCCCTCTTCCTACTCACAACATCCTGGTAGAAAGTACTCACGCTACTCACAGCTAATGATCAACTGGCAACAAGAAGATTTGCTCAGTTCCAGAAAGCAACGAGGAGCACTTCAATGACATGAGCACATTCCAGTTCAAAAGCGACGCTGAAGCAGACGCTAGCGCCTCCGATCTTCACAGCTTCTGCTTGTCACACCAGCCTTCTCTCAGTGCAGAGAGAAGGTTCACACATCCTCAATCACACAGGCTATGTGATTTCACACGGTTTATTTTGGAGTGGCGCTACAACATGAGACCAGCATGCTTTCAACAAGGCGACCCTTCGTTTTAACAGGGGCGGTTCTCTGCAAAGAAACAAAGCTTAGATTTTCAGTGTGCCGAGTAAGTGCCTGACTGTGGTTTCAGTTAAAAGTTCAACCATAAAAGGTGATGAAGACTGAAAACAAAATAGCAGAAATTCTGAACTTTGCATTTGTGAATGTGCACGTCTGTATGCGTGTGCACGAGCTGATTAAAATGCAGATTCTAGCTCCCTGAGCAGGACGTCATCGGCAATCCAGTGTGCAGAACGAGTGGATGCTGGGCTGAATGAACGCTCCGAGGATCCCCCGCAGGCAAGACTGAAACAATTCTGGCAATCAGCGGCAACGTGAGTGGTGCCTGGCTCGTCGTTCATCTGGCTAAACATCGACCAACAGCTAGCAGCACTGTTTCTGAATTGCAGAAGTGCTTGAAAGGCTGAAGAGGCAAAAGGGAACCTCAAGTGAACACTTTACTAACGTTAAAACAGCCTGTTATGAGACCTGGATCTCAGATACAGTCCACCACCAAATCCAAGCAACGGTGGTGTCTCGCCATCTGATTGAAATGGTCCAATGTTCCACAGAATTAGTGCAGTTTGAAAATAATACCTGACCTAGCAGCTTCCAGTCTGTCTAACCTGTCCCACCTTTATCAGACACATAAAACTTCATTTGTGATCTGAAAACAAGGCACTGCTCTCACAGTGATATATTTATGTAATCCTCATTAGCTGCTCCACCTGTCACCAACATGCACTCTGTATCTTATGTGGCTGGCTTACATTTATACCTTACATCTCTGGTACACACTGTTTCAGTTGTGCACTGTTAATGTGGCTAAAGTCGCCTCTGACCTCGTGTGTGGGCGACGTGGGTTCTTTCAAATAGCCACACTTTATCAGCTGTCATCCTATCAAAATACACTCCAGCGATGAGCAGTAAGATGCTTGTTAAAATGAGGGTTTAAAGGTTTTTGTAGACTTCTCAGCTTGGAATGTGCACAGGCAGCCTGTTAGTTCTTTGTTGTGCAGTGATGTGCCTTGTTGCTTAGCATAATGTCTGTAAAAGGACCAGGGGAGCACAGGAGCAGCTCACTCTGCTGGGATCCAAGAAAAGGACAGTTAGGTAACAGGGTCCTCAGAAGCCCACTGGGACTAACTGTCATAACCTCCTACAGCAGTAAACTCCCACACACACACACACACACACACACATACACACACACACACACACACACACACTGTAAAAATGAGATTTAAGTGTAAACTTCTGTTGCAATGTTCTCAATCAGTCTTAAAATGGTTTTAACAGTTTCACCAAATTTTATTGCAATGGAGTCAGGATGTTTATTTGCTTCAACTTTGGTATCTGTGAAAAAGGTTTTTCTTTGTTGTTGTTTTGTTTTTTAAAATAACTTCTTACAAGAACCAGACTTAATTAATGGAAGCTAGAATATTTTATCTACAAATATCCCTCAGTGAGCTTAACAATTAAATCCACAAGACTAACATATTTGCCATGTGCAGAACAGATACACAGACTCAGCGACACACATCCACCAACCAGCACAACTATCACTTGCAGCACACGCAAAGACAGCAAAATTCACTTGAATAGGTTTTATTCGAATATTTAATTCTAAAATCCCTGTTGTTGCTGAAACAAGGGAAACAAGGGTTTCACTTGTTTTGCACTGCTGGGAATCAACTCAACAGTTAACACATTATCACATATCCTCAGTTAAACCATGTTTTAAGACGGATATTGTTTGCAGTGTGTGTGCATAGTACAGACACGTATGTACAGAGAGTCATCACCTGTTGACACCCATCAGTGACCTTCACACACACACACACACACACACACATACACACACACACGCGTATCACAGGCCTCCTCTTCACTGCTGCTCTATTCTTAGCGCACAAAGCCTGTTGTTATGAATTCCAGTGCCATGAAAATGAGGAGCAGTTGTGACGCCACATTACTTTTTTGACAACACAGTATTATATCACAGAGTGCAAAACCATATCTAAAACTGAAGTAGGGACAGAGTGCAGGAACAACAGAAGGTCACATTCAGTGCAGAGAAAAAATGAATTTAGACAGTATTTTTATTTCACTAGTTGGCGTCACTGCAGCTGGGATTTAAAAGTATTACATTTAGAAGAGTTATTGGAAGTTCAAAGTTTTGGCCAAGTCATCGGTTCAGTGATCAGAATATCAAAATGACACCTTTGAAGTTTTGTACACATGCACATACACTATGATGAGGGGTAGGCTGGGATTTACACGCAAAATATTCAGTGGGGAACTTTTGAATACATGAATTAAAATGTAAATTTAAACTACACATTTTGGAGGTAGTTTCTATGACATTCTCTAACCCTCACTTAGAAGGAGACACAAGGATGTCTTACAGCAGTGGAAGGCAAACAGGAGTCCAGAGGCCAGATGAATCTTTTTTGCAAAAGAAATGCACCATGGCTCACTGTAACTCTGTAAACAATTACACCTGGATACAATTCTACACACATTTGTATCACTTTTATTCTTGAGCAAAAGTGAAAATAAAAAAAGAAAGCAATGTTGGCTTCCACTGTTGAAACATGCAAAAGAACTTTCTCATAATTCAAAGTAATTGTTGAGTCTCATCTTGTAAAATAAAAGCCAACTCTGTTATAAATAAAATAAATAACATTGTTAGTTTGTAAGTCCAAAATTCTCCCCTTCCATGTTCAACAAAGGTCAACTGAGCAATTACTATTGGTGGTGAAGTAACAACACACAGTAGCCAGACATAGCCAACTTTTAGTTTATGCATATCCAATGCTGTGTGATTACCAACATGCAGACTGCTAGTAGGAACAGTTAGGTCTGTACCTGCTTCCTGTTTTTTTTTTTTACATCTTTCTATGACATTTTCCTTTTCACAAATTTTCCGCTGGAAACATGGAGACACTACGTGGAATAAGTAAATGAATAATTAAAAGCCTGAATTGTTTTTCCCATAGAAAACGCAACATAACTCATAGTTGGAATACCTGCACAGCTTGTAGATAAGGTTTAATTGTTAGTTTAAATGGTTAACAGCTGCAATACAAAATGGTTTGATGACTTCAATAAGATGTGTCTTTGTTGCACCTTCCAATGTGTGGTGCAACACTTTCTTGAAAAAAAGTACTGGGTAAATCGGCCAGATAGAAAATATTTATGATAAGATCCAACTTGGTGTGTCATTTGTCAAATGTTTCCTCGGCAATATTACAGCTTTTTTCATGTAATTTTATGGCCTACTTCAAAATTTCACATTTCAGTAGTGTGCCATAATTCTATGTAGTAACTAGGACAGTGTAAATGCACCTTTAAACATCTGCCTGGCTTGCCATAAATGTTGATATTCCACAGACTGCAAAGGAGACACAATGTGCCTCAAATATAAAACGATGCTTCATGTCTTTTCCGCTTTTGAGGGCTGGTCTGTATAGTCTGTTACGGCATTTAAAAATACAGGGACACAGGAGTTGTACATGCTGAATAGTATCAAGAAACCCACTCTTGTCCAGCACAGGACTTACAGCAACATATAGTACATCTCAGTGTTCACTATAACTCAAATGAGTGTGTATGCTATACACAAGTGTTGGAGTATTGAAGAGCACTACGGCTCAGCTCAGCTCAGCCGCAGTGAGCCAGCAGAGAATGAGAACATCGTGGTTGATGTTATTACAACATAGTAATCTGATTACACTATAACAAGACCTGCGCCCTTGATGCCTCCTGCCCAGATAGAATGATTTGGACTCGATGAGTTGAACATGAGAAAGTTCTTTGTCTGCATGTAATTCTGCCAGTGAATAAGCTGATACAGTAAGCGCACATACACTCACACAGACTGTTCAGCGAACATATTCTTTCTTTTTTTTGCTGAAACAATGACACAGTTAAACATCAAATTTTGTTGATTTTTTAAAATAAGGTTTTAATATCTTTAATATAGCTTTAATATAGTTTGTAGCCATTAATCGCTCCTATGGTATTTCTTTTTGCACGTTCCACATTCCTATGTAGCTAACTGCATATCACATTAATAATCGTATTAATAAATTTGCTATTAGGTAAATTAGTCTTTTCTTTTTTCAGTGCACAACCTGCAACCTTTACCACCCTGAGAGCACTCAGTCACACTGTGGTTACAGCCAGCGGCTCCAGCTGGAGCTCGTCCCTGCTGGGGTCTAACTATGAGTAACTACAGCTGACAGTTGTGCACAACCTTTTTAACTTATGAACCTTCAATACAAAGTGACGTGTTTGTGTGACCTCTTGTCATATGATGCACTTCTAAGAGCTGTGAGGAGTTCAGTCAAAGAATGAATTTTCTGTTTTGCCTGTTCTGGAGAGGTAAAGCTACTCAAGCTTTGCTGTCAAGCAAATTCAAAGCAAACTTTTGTAATGTCATTAAAAAAATTTTAAAAAAAATCTTACAATGAAGGTGGTGGTCGAGGCTATGTTGTAAACAGGCTGTATTAAACAGAGTAGAAGAAACCAGAGACAAAACATGCCCTGCATTCTAAATCACAAACTTGTGCTTTTTCCTTTCAGTACGTACTACAGCTGTCCTTACTAAGTATACACACTTTCCTGCAGTAGTCATACAATTGGACAACACTACTTTTTCAAAATATTGCACATTAGGCTTTGACTGTTAAAGCTCATATATCACAGTGTGACAGAAGACAACACGAGACAACAAAAGAAACATAAGCACTCATGCGATTTAAATGTTTGCAACGTCAGGAAAGGTGTTTCCATCTCACACGATGCACATTAACTGTTTTTAACTCAAAAACTACCTAAAAATAGTGTAAAACTTGTCAAAGTTGCAAAATTGTCTCCATTTAAAAATGCAGAATGAAAAAGTGGCCACAAACAATAAGCATAGACTAGAGAAGATTGCAATTTTGTCACTTCTCTGACAACAGTAATCATCTTGTGACCTTTGAGATAAATCTTGTGACTTTGCTGTAAGGAGATGACATGCAGGAGTAATCTTCACATGCTCCAAGTGTTTCCAATATTCTCACACAGACACCCTTTACCAGAGGAGTTAAAGAGATAACTTTTAATTA